CCGCGGATTATTCCCGTTTTGATGTATATATAATGATGTTTATTTAATATATTTAATAATATTATTTATTTAATATAATATTATTTAATATATTTAATAATATTATTTATTTAATATATTATTATTTTAAATATTATTACATGTTTTTAAAAATTAAACCACCAAACTCAGTTTCAATTTTTTTTTTTAAACTGAAATTAATCTCTGAATAAAACTACCAAACGCATTTAAGAAATAATTCCAAAATGAAAATGAAAACGTTTTCATTTCTATTTTCATACAGAAAATAAAATCATTTTGAAACCAATTCCAAACGCACCCGTTGTAATATCCGAAAATCATTTTTTTGTTATCCATGCTGCATAAATCGCCTTGCCAATACTTCTTGAGAATTTACACTAGCCTATGAAAAGTCCTAGTATGTACAGATGGAGCATTTAATTAAGATTTTTCTAATGAAAATTACTTATGAGATCAAGTATGTGCTTATTCCTAAAAATAAAAAAATAAAAAAAAAACATGTGTTTTCATTCGGAATAGAAATTGGAAACTCCATACACATACTTATATAGGTGTGCTTTTAATGATTACTTTAATATTTACTTATCAATAAGTATTATTATTTTAGCTGTTAGATTACTTATATGGGTGTGCTTTTAATGATTACTTTAATATTTACTTATTAATAGGTATCATTATTTTAGCCGTCAGATTTTAATCTAACGGTTATAATAAATTATATAGTTAATAAAAAAATTTATGATAACTAATGGAACTAAATTCTTATCACATTACGTCATTAGATTTCTATATTTAGTAATAATTATCGATGAAAACGTAACAATTAAAAACTCGTCCATACTTACATATATATATATATATATTATACTAGTTAAAATTGCACGCGTATGCACCTGAAATTTTGTTAGTAAAAATGAAAATCATATTTATTAGAGTCTCATTTATAGAAATAAAAAAAGAAAAATGTATAATAGGATAAAAAGGATATGAATGAAAAAAAAGATGATGACAAGAGAGAGAGAGGGGGGGAAAATGAATGAAAATTATAAAGGGAACAAATCTAGACAAAAATATGTATGAGAAAAAATTATTTAAAAAGAAAATTAAAGAGAAGTATAATTATGAGGGTCAATTTGAAAAGGAGGGAAAAAAGAATAATAGGGCCAAAAAGATAGGATTAATTGTAAAAATTATCTCTAAATTATACCCATTGTAATGCTTTATCTTATTATTTTTAAAATGTAACATTTATTTTCTTAAATAATAAAATGTTAACTAAAAAACTCTCTCTCTTAAATTTTTTTTAACAAAATTGACATTTAATTAATTTTTTTAAGGATATTTTTGTAACTCTATTATTTTAATTTTAATATGAATCTTAAATAATAGAGTTGAATTTAATATGAATCATTTAATTGGTACAACCGCTGCAAAACTGTCGTGTGAAACCCATTTAATTATAGTACAAAGAGATTATAATAAATAACATATTTTTAAAATTAAATTAAGTAAATAATATATTTTAAAATACAGCTTAAATTTATAATTAGTAAAAACATTGTTTTTACGTAAATCTTTTTTTTTTATGAATGGTAAAAAGGATTTTTTTATGTAAATAAAGATTTTAAAGATATTTTATGATGTACATTATTTTTTACTAATTATAAATAATTATTTACATGATAAATGTAAATTTATGTGAGAGAAATATAAAATGTGAATTTATGTGAAAGAAATATAAAACAATTTAAATTTAAAATTGTATAAGAAAAAATACGGTGTTAAACAAATTGAATAGTTTTTAATATTGAGCATTATCAAGTAAATACTTTTTTTTAAATAAAAAATTTATAGCTCTTCCTCTCGTATGAATAAGGAGTATAGTGTGGATCGGTAGACAGAGAATTGAATGGGTTTATGCCGATTGATCTGCCTTAGTTCCCCACTTCGTCTTCACCGTCTTTCTCCGTCTCCACCGATTCTCCTCGCACTTCCTACGCTATCTCTATCTTTCCCATATTACCCTCACCACTCGTCTAAATTTTCACCTCTGACACTCCTCCTCGTCCCACAAAAGCGTCTCTTTCGTTGCGTTCAATCCTCGTTTTCTTCTTCTTCTTCTTCTTCCTCCATGGAAGCTCCTCCCCAAGGTTACAGGAGAAATGTCGGTATCTGTCTAATCAACGATGACAAAAAGGTCATACAATTCTCTCTCTCTCTCTCTCATGTGTAAATGTGTATTTGCTCATGTACAATGTGTTTTTTTTTTTTTTTGGGAGGCAGATTTTTGCTGCGTCGAGGTTGGACATCCCGGATTCCTGGCAAATGCCGCAGGTAATTGTTGGAATTGATGGCTGAATCTGAATCGCGTGTGTGTTTCTCGACAAAGTTAGGATGTAATATTGAATTTATGAGAGATTTAGAAGAATAACACAGTTTTTTCATGGATGATTCTTTTAATTGTTTTTTATTTTTACTTTTGTGGAATATAATTTTCCGGATTTTATTGTATGTTCCAATGGAAAGTTGTATATATTTGTATATATGTATATATAAAAGAAAACAGCGTCCATTTGGACTTTGTTTCAAATGGAACCATGTTTGTTTGTTTTCTTGTTGATTATTATGGCTATATTATCATTTAGTTGATGATGGAATTATGAAGAGGAAGAACAAGAAACTACACGGTAGAGAGGAGAAGATATCTTCCTAAAATGAACAACTGTAGAGGGAGAAATTAAACAACATTCTCTCTATTTCAATAAACAGTGAAAAAAGGAAGTTTCTAAAATTCTTTTCGCATAGGGAAGCCCAGAATTGAACTCTATCCTATAGAAAGACTTTGGCTCGGGACATATCTGCAAAAATTCTAGTGTTCCTCTCTAGAAACAATACGCAAGATATAGTCGCAAAACCAAGCATTTCCATGAAGCTTTGCCTCTGCAGCCCTCACCAAAGGCAGGAAATCTCTCTATTAGCGAGGAAAATGTGAAAGAAAGGAATTACTCAATAGAAACCAGCCACTATAATTTCTGTATAAGGGCTCTTGGACAGTGTTCCTATTCCTTGAGGTAAGGGTGCAGTCTAGGACAATGTACACAAGGAGATCGTAAGGAGTGGCGATATTTCAAGTGTCGGTTGTATTGAACTGAACTTGCCATCTTTCAAGTTTTTTACCCACATTTGTTCAGCTTTAATATGTGAAGATATGGAAATTGTCCATACTGGAGTTTAAGGCTGTTATTAAAATGTTTGTTTTCACAATCTTAAGTTTGATATGTTGCATGATTGGATAGACATTTGAATTAGCATTGAATTTAAATGTGTTTGAAAGGGTGGTATTGATGAGGCCGAGGATCCAAGAACCGCAGCCGTCAGGGAATTAAGAGAAGAGACAGGAGTGAGTTCGGCAGAAATTCTTGCAGAGGTACGTCTTTCTTACTGTTGAGGAGATTTCTTTTTTATTGTTTGGATGACTTCTTTGAATTGCATTTGGTTCAAGACTGGAAAAGTTGCTTCTTGGTCTTGTAATTGTAAGAAATGTTTTTCCGTTTTTGTGCTACTAATTCTTCAAGCCCCAATATGCTTTGATGTAAATCTTAAACATTAGCTTGCTCATTATTATTTATCATTCTGTATTTCAAAGTGAAATATAGGTTTCCTGTACTCAATCTTCAATGTGATTTATTGCGTGTAAATTTTAACCATTATGCCATATTGATGTGGTGAAAGAAAACCACCTTCGAAGAATCCTTGACATGTTGATATAACAAAGGAAATTGAATGATAATATGTGGGTACAAGGCACCAACACACAGAATGAGTATAAAATGTTCATTTTATTGTGTTTTTTGGTTCAAGCAGAACATAACAGAAATGTATGCGTATTTTTTTAATTAATTTTATGATCAAATTACAAGAAATCCCAAATAGATTCTAGGTCAAATAGATTGTGGGTGAGTACATGTGGGAAACCCGATACTCAAATAACTATACAAGGTTGCTTATTCCAAGTTTCTTTCCTTTTGTTTTGGATGTTTGAATTCCACTTGTTGTGTGTTCTGTCCTTTAATTGGCTGCCTTGTAACCACTGATCAAATGCGAATATTAAGCCATTATTTGATTGAGCTACCACATCACTAGCAAATTAGTAAAACCTGATTTTTTTTTTATTATTATTCTTTAGATAATTTTCATGCATTTGAGGTTTTGGTATTAAACTAAAGATTAACTAAGATCTGTTTAAAGTTCTACGTGCCTATGCTTTATGAGGTTTTAACATCTGGATTTATTGAAGTTTTGTCCTTTTATTTTTCTATATCCTCAATTTAGTTTTGCCTAACAATTCTCTTGCATCATCGATTTATATTCTGCATTAGTTTATTTTTTCTGTTCTGTATTATAAGTAGTTATGTTTCTTCCCACACTTCTGCTTGATCAGAAGGCTCAGGAGTGAGTTCTGTGCTTCTTCACTGTATGATTACATCTTGTTTTCCATTTGGCTGGATTATTTAGGCACCATACTGGTTGACATACGACTTCCCGCCAAACGTCAGGGAAAAACTTAGACATCAGTGGGGAGGAGACTGGAAAGGCCAGGCGCAAAAGTGGTTAGTACCAGATTTATTCCTTTTCTAGTTGGACTAATTGCATGTTGTAGCCAGAAAATCAGTCTACAATATTAGCATTAATACCTGTTAACTGGCAGAGAAAGTTATTGTAAGTTTCTAAAGTTACTAACAACTGACATACATAAAATTCTCATCTCTTTCTTATCTTGTTTAGTTGCTTTACTTAATATTGACATGCATATGTGGCATTCCTTGTTAAAATAAACCTTCCTTCCGAGCACGAAAAAAGCTCTTAAAAGGAATAGTTTCTACTTTAACCTCTACCATTTTCTTTGGGGTAGTAGAATTATTTCTCCGTTTTGGATATGCATATGTTGTCTGCGTTTAACTAATTTATTGTTGCCATTGCTAAAAAAACAGGTGTCTTTTCAAATTCACCGGAAACGATGAAGAAATCAATCTTTTGGGCGACGGGACTGAAAAACCTGAGTTTGGTAACTGGTCGTGGATGTCGCCAGAACAAATAATTGACCTTGTGGGTGATACATCTTCCCCCCCGTTGTTCCCCCTTCCCCCCTAGATTCATTTAAGTTGTCGCCCGACTTACATCATTTCGTCTTCTCCTACTATCATTGCAGGCTGTTGATTTCAAGAAGCCCGTTTACAAGGAAGTTTTAGCGGTTTTCACACCATATCTTCAATAACCTTGAGTGAAAATACTATTTCTTTTACAAAGTGAGTAGAAAGCAAAAGTAGTCCAATGAACAGTCATATTTAAGATTGTATCTGATGGACATAATAGCCGATAACCGTCCCATTTCTATTGTTCCTTTGAAGTGGCAAATGAGCTCCATATGCATATGCTACCATGAGCTGATTCAAAATTCGATGTTTCATGTTAACGATTGAAAGCTCGCAGTCAAGTGCTCTCAACAGCCTACAAGGAAGAACTAAAGCAACTTGGGACACCGGTGCGGTGCCGGTCAAAGGCCATCCGATGCTCAAGTTTGTAGCTTTGGAATGATTTTGACAGTTTTGGCACGCACAAGGGGGCTTACTTTTCTCTTTCGAAGGCATGGTATTTATATATGAACGTTGTAGAGCTATGGTGTTCACCACGTACACAGGTCCCGCGTTTGTTGTTTAAGTATTAAAAAAAAATGAGTGAATTAATTAATAATAAATAAGAGTGCATTTTTTTTAAAGTGATTTTTTTTTTTTAACACAGTTGTTAATATTGTTTTTGTTATTTTTTAAATCATTCACAATTAAAAAAATTAAGGAAGCAAAAAGTTCTTGTTTTCAAATTTTTCTTCTAAACAAAAATTTGTCAATTAAGGAATCCCTTGTTTTTGATATTATTTTTGTTCCAACTTTAAGGGTCCGTTTGGTTTACAGGTTTAAACTAGTGAATCTTAATTCTAACTTTTGAAATTTAACTTTTTTATGAGAGAAAAACACTGTAGTAGAATTAAACCATAGGTTTGAACCCACGGAACAAACAACCTCAAAATATTTTAGATTTTAGTCTCTAATTTTCAGAGATTCAGTCAAATATTTAACACTTAACTGATTGAAGAATTGAAATTGAAATAAAGTAAAACTTCGAAGACTAACTATAGCACGTTTTATAAATCAAAGACTAAAATGGGATTGAGGGTAAACTTCACAGGCTATTTGTGAGATTAACAAAAAAAAAAAAAAAAAAAAAGTTGTTTCATGGAAAGCACTGATAAATCCATGGATTGAAAATACAACCAAGCAAAATGGCACACTAACATTTCCAGTTAATCAATCAGTTGAACATCTCAGTCTCAGTAATCATCAAGTTCATCAACTCATTATACTTAGCAGCCTGCACAGACCACATGCAAGCCTCAGCTTAATGACAATTTCGTGGCAATATCAAGCAGCAAGTCTAGCAGTTTTCAGAATTCTGGGAGAAAAGGCTAAGACTATTATTCATCAGACTTTTCAAGTATCTTTTGTATGTGATCAGTAAGGATATTGGCAACAATATCAGGGGAGTACTTTCTGATCATGTCTTCCCTTGCCTTCTTTCCTCTAGCTTTGGCTTCCTCAATGTTGTTCATCACACGCCTCATCAAAACCCGAAGCTTACCGACTGAAGGCTCCGCCCAAAGATGCCCTCTAAAAGGCCCCTCCGTCACTTCACTCATCCTCTCCGGTGGCAATGGATAGCTATTTTCCTCCGTCATGTACTCAGTTGGTCCCGACCAATTGGTCGCAATTACCGGCAATGACATGGCCATCGCTTCCACAATAGGTCTCCCCCACCCTTCTCCTCTTGAAGGAAGAACAAACGCATCAGCCGCCTTATAAAGACGGGGCAAATCGATTTGATCTATGTGGCTGTCAATGACATATACCGGAGCCCAACCGGTCACAGGCTTTTCCAATCCAGAATTCTCCACGAACTCCACAATCTTATTCCCAAAATCACTATCAGTGTGATACGGGTTTGTTAACAGATACAAAGCCACACCATCAACACCAGAGAATTCTTCCAAATAAGCCTTCAGCAACACATCCCATCCTTTCCTGTACTCCCACTTAAAGACACTCAAAAACACAAACTCCGAATTCGATTTCGGTCTCCGGGTTGGTCCCCCTATTACCAAACTCTCAACAGAATGAAGATTCAAAGGCTTGTACTCAAGTGGGTCAAAGAACTTGACATCAATAGGCTGAACAATTTTCACAACCTTGGATGGATCAACCCCACTTTCTACAAAAGTGGAGACATGAAATTCAGTAGGCACCCAAACATAGTCCATTCTGTTACATCGCTTAACATGTTCAGAATTCACCCTATCCGTTTCAAACATCGTCCGGCCGATAACCGCCTTGAAATTTTGGTAAACACCTGGTGGGCATGGTGAAGTTTCAAACAATGGAGGATACCAGGCGCCGGGCTCACTGTGGCATATCACAAGAGTCTTATTACTCATTGTACATTCTGTGTTGTAAAGCTCAACGGCCAAGTTCTTGGTGGGTCCTGGCAAACCTTCCCAGAATTCTACTGATTCCAAATCACCATGATGATCAATGGCAAGTTTGAAAGATGAGTTTTTGATGTGTTCGTGAAGGGCCAAGATGTATGACCAACTTTCTGAACTGTACCCACCACCTGAGAGGAAAGGAGCCATCCATAGAACACAGTAGGGAGGCTTGGAAATGGGTTTTGGAGATTGTTTGATTCTGGGTTTTTGTTGAGTGGGGGAGAGAAGGGCAAAAATGGTTTGGAAAAGGTTGGGGTTTGATGAGAATGTGTGTTTTAGGAGTTGGGTTTTGTAGTAGTTTGTGTTGTTTAAGGTCAAGGAGATTGCTAAGAAGAGAATTAGGAGTGGAAGTATGTAGAATGCGAAGGCTTTTTTCAATTTGGAGGTGAAGGAGAGAGTTTGATTTGTCTCTGGTTCGTTAAGAGGTCGCTGGTTTTCATGCGAGTCCATTGCTATGGAGAGTGAGTGAGAGAGAGTAATGGGATTTAACGACTTACGGCCATTATTACTTGTGGAAGACCAACTTTCAAGTCGATTTTTTTTTAGTAATAAAAAAAAACACTTGATTTTGAGATGTTAAGGCGGAAAGATTCGCGTCATGCCTAAGTTGCTTTAAAAAAATAAAACCTTAATCATATGAAGTTTTAAGACTTTATACAAGTAAAATAAATTTTTTATCCGTTAAATTTACATAAAAATACATAAAAATTAAAATAATATACAGATTTAACGGTTAAAAAAATTTAATCTACCAAAAAGTCGACGCATTAGAGAATCTTCCAAAGTTTTAAAGTCTTAATTTACATTTATATCAAATGAAAAAAAAGTACACCAACAAGATGAAAATCTTATCGTTTAGAATTGTTCTTGGTGTTTTTATTCCCCCTTATCCTAGCAAAGAATTTTTCCTTTTTATAGTTTGCAAGACTTTTTTTTTTTTTTTTTATTGTTGTATTGCGATTTAGAACAAAAACGGTGTAAAAAAAGAATTATATTAGATGTAAATTTGGAGCTAAATATTTAGGCATGACCATTACAAAACTCAATTCGTTGAACCCTTGAGGCTAGAGCGTTGTTAAGCTTCTTTTTCGTATAGATAATGCCAGAGACAGACGGGATCCATCCTTTAAGACAATGTCTAGTACGCCTCAATCTTACTGCCTTTGACAGCGTCACGTTATTATGAAATTGACCCCAACATTGGATACTCAAGCTATGGTATATCCTTGAATAATATATATATATATATATATATATATATATAACGAGCATGGTTAACGGAAATTAGAAAGATTTTATTTGATCAGCACCATAATCCCCCCTGTTTGTTTGGAAGAGACTTCCTACGGTCTTTACAATTTCTTATAGCAATATACTTAGAGCCTGTTTGTTACCGTTTTTGTTTTCATTTTTCACGTTTGTCGAAGCAAAAAATTGAAAACAGAAATGAAAAAATGCTTTTGGCGAAGTTTGTGTTAGAAAACAAAAACAAAAACGTTTTTGTCTTTTTGTGAAAAACTGAAAACGAAAAAAATACGTTTTCATTTTCACGTTTTCGTTTTCTGAAAAACGGATTTCAGTTTTTTTTTTCTTCTCTCTCTTCTCTAGCCGAAGAAGACGCGGGAGAAGCGACGGCCAGCGTCTG